CGCGTGGTATTACGTTAGGCGACGTATATTTACAAACAAACAAAAAAAAAACATGCGAGATTAGTTTTGGCCGACCGACCTCTACAAAAACCGTGTTGGTTTTGACAAAGGCAAGACTTGAACAGGGAATACTTGAAATATCATTTGAAGAGGAGCAGAGTCGATAAATCGGGAGAATAGTTATAGACGCATTCCTTTCACCCCTATTGAAATGCTGGCACTACACTCTTTTTCTGGCGGGAAAGGTGTTGAGTTCTAATATTAAGTTAAAACTTGTAGCAACAAAGCTAAAAAAAATTATATTTATTCCTTAAAATGAAAGCTGAATATTCATCATGACTGCTTAACTTCTTCTAGTGAAGTTCATTAATTGCGAGGACTGCATTTTCAAGTGTAAGCATAGGAAAGAAAAGCATGTTGCTAAACAATTGAAAACCGCACATGGATCATTTATATATCCAGCATTGTTTTGTGAAACAATGGAATGAAATCGACTGGATTACTTTATAGGTCTCGCGGAGTTAAAAAAAACCGCTTGGGTCACGTCTTAGATTACATTCAGCCGTATGCCTCCCATTTTCTTTGTCACAGTGGATCAGCCTTTTCGCCCTTTTACGTTGCTCTTTAAACAGCTCTCTGCATTTATCAAGGGCCAGTATGTTTTTACTTTGTGTCATACTTTGCTTTCTTCCGTAACGCCTCGCTTAGCACTCCTGAAAACTAATAAGGGAAGTGGTAGAGCGACCGTACTTTCGCGGGATGAATTAAGTCATAGCTACAACTTCAATATATGTGCCACATATGACAAGGCTATCAATATCTGAGCATAGTATAACTGCCTTCCAGTTCACGTTGTGAAAGTGGTTATAAACATTAAAATACTATCAAAGGGCGTACCGGAGCCGTGGCCCAGTGGCACGGACCGTCCGCCTCGGCTACGGGAGGTGATCGTTTCGAAGCCCACCGTCGGACACCCGCCGGCTAAATGGGTACAAACGTCCTCCGAACTCGGCGCTCGGTTTCACATACAGGGCATGACGTTTGGGAAAGGTTCCGCAAACCCCGCTAAGGCCTAGCTGCGAGAACCCTTAATCGCAACCGCTAGTCGGTTGCGGCGGTATGCCGCCTTTGGTGGCGTTGTTGCACTCGTGCAGACTTTCGTCCCTGGGAAACCAGGTGAAAAGTTGAACACAAAGGCGCGCGCGCAAAAGGCGTAGTTGCGTCTCCAAGACACTTGCTCACGTCAGGCACGGAAAAGGGATAGAGAGGATAAACGGTGAAAGCAATTTATAAAAAAGCAACGAAAGTATTTAAAACAGCTCCTAATATGGCGGGTAAAATAATTGCCATGCTTATGTCGAGCGTATTTTTAGCTTCGCTTGTTGTGGAATGCAGCTGATCAAGCCTTTCTAAACTAACAAATTCAAACACTCATTCCGCTCTAGTACGGGCTTCGGGTGATGCTGCAATTATCGTTTTTTAATTCCAAACAGTACCAGAAACATGGAAGTTCCTGAGAATCAGTTCATAATCTTTTGCAAAATTTATCTTACTAGAAAAGAAAGCAATGTGCCTCTGAATGCTTGTGCATATGAACGAGGCGGAGAGCAATAATTTCCAATCGGCAAGTCTCCTTTTCATAGAGGACTACTTTGCGCCCATAGATATTTATTTCCTTCCTACGAAAATATGGCAACGATTTCCAAACGGCTGTCAGCACCCGCCCACCGAGGGTTGTCCTTATTTCAGTGGAATTGGTTTTACTGAAAATAAAACTTGAGCCCTGGTGTTTTACAGGATACTTTCAGGGCTTCATAGTCCTTCAGCCCATCAAGCCTCTCTGCCCTTCAAACCATTTTAAACATTCAGACACTCAGCCTTTCAGACTCCATCCACCCATCAACATTTTATATGCCATATGACTGTGAACCATATACCTAAAAGGCAGTTGAAGTGTTGTTGTAAATATATTTCACACATTGGGGTTATATGTATGTTGTTACTCAAAAAGGTGATAAGAGCCAACGTTTACTTAAACCTGGCCGCAAGCAACTGTAGACAGAAGCGATCAGACCATGCAGGAACAACCAATTATTTCGTCACAAAACATTATATATCAAGGCACTCACTATGGCTGGGTAAACTCCCTAGCTGTGCGGTATAGTTACACGGAGATAACCGAGCAGGTGCGCTGCATGCACACGTACCCACCGCCAGTAGCACGTTTAGCAAAAACCACGAACGCGCAACCAACATCCGTCGCCGTTTAGAAATCCTGAGCACATTCATGGCGTCTTCCCATGGTGGCTTTGAGGTGGCGTCGCCGGTGTCATCATCGATCGCTGGATGCTTTTGAACCCCTAGAGACGAAGATGTGCGAGAATCAAGGCACTCAGACACCTTGATCCGCACACCCAGCTTCTCTAAAAGATAGGTCGCACGCAAGAGACGAGAAGCCGACACTGCATGTCGTCTAATTATAGCGCATTTAGTTTGCACTTGTTGACGGAGAAAATGCAGGGCAACCAGCTTCTGACGAACGGTGTATATCGACTGAAAAAAACATATATTTAAACGAACAGCAAAACGCACACCTCCCTTTTGTGTCCACGCACCCGCTCTACCTCCTTAGCCAAAAATATGTGTCCCTCGGCGTAGGGAAAACACTGTCTCTCTCTCTCTCTCTTTTTCTCCATGGTCCCAGCCCGTGAAACACAAAGACAGCATTGAGGGAAAAGGGAACGTGTCCTCAATTTCGAACGTGCGTTCGGTCCGCGGAATAAAAAATGGTCAAGCGGCTTTCCCGACGCATATATCCTGAATGGTCTCGTGATCTCTCTTAAGGACACGTTAAAGCAACTTTGATGGGTTCTGCGGTTTCACGGAGAGGATTGGGACAGATACCACATTCTGATCAAAAACTTATGACAGGTCTTTTACACCTTTCTGAAATTCTTAAAGAGTACAGTGGCCAAATATTTTAATAATATCAAGCGAGCGTCGACCGCCGGGACGGCCAGCACTGTGCCGCGGAAAAATGCGGCGTCACGGGAGAGACTAAGCGCGTGCGCACAAAACTCTTTCTGTTGCGAGCGTCGTCTGCTAGGCTATTCCGTGGACCGCGCACAGCCCCTGTTCATTTTCTGCTGGCAAAGCCAACCGCCTTTAAGCAAAGATCTGAACAGCGCTTGCTTGCGTGATACTGCTCAGGCGTGGCGGAAACCGCGTGTCATCTCGAGTTTAATTTTTTGTTCATTTCATGTTTGCGCTTACCTGTGTGAACACCAACAAAAATTAAAAAAATACGGTGGCGCAACAAACTGAATGCAACGACGCATTAAACTAAATACCGCAAACAATGCTACGAGGCACCAAAACCAATCCAGTACCTTCACCATGCCACGTGACATCGTGCTTTCCCGTGCAGTTGTACCCAACGGGAAGGCCACGTGACACACTTTTAGGGATGGACTGGCCAAGATGACTCGTAGTGTCGGCTGCGGTACAACACAAATGGAAACAGAGTATAGACAGGGTCTTCACTTCGGCTTGGTGTTTTGTATAATCAACTCCGTTGTTTATACAAAACCTAAGTAACAAAGCCTAAGTAGCCGGGTAGTCACAGTTTTTTTTGACCAGCGGGCGCGCGCACATTTTTATGCCTCCTCGAAGGCCCATAAACACTGGAACGTGTTGTGAGAATGTCGATGGGCGGCATGACGCAAAGGGATATGGAAACAGCAGTCGGGGTTACACAGGCTAATGTCAATAGGATTTCGGACGCATTTCAAGAGGAGGGGCGTATCGGCGATGTACTTCGACATTGCAAGCGCTCTGCCCTCTTTTGCTACGGAGCAGAGGCTGCGTGCGGTCAGCGGAATAGCCTAGCAGACTGCGGTCTCTCCAGAAAGGGCTTTGTGCGCACGCACCTAATCTCTCCCATGACGCCGCATTTTTCCCCGGCACAGCGCTGGCCGTCCCGGCAGTCGACGCTCGCTTGATATCGTTAAAAAATTGGGCCACTGTAAAACGTCAGGCCTCTTAGAAAACTTTGAAGGACATCTCAAACCCGTGAACCATTTTAGGGCGTACACTGTTAGAAAATTCCATCAATCTACGTGGAAAAACCGAATAGAACATGTCCCGTATTCTGGAAATGCATACAATGTCCTGTTTGCTTTCAAAAACGGGAACTGTACCATATGCATTGAAATGTGCTATTTAGGCAATAAGTATGAGCTTATCCCTATCAATAAAAAAAGCCTTACAAGATTACAGTTTATAGTCGGTTCAACTGATATAAGCGTATTGAACGCGCCCGAAATTGCCGGATATCCTGCAATTTTTATGGAACTCTATCAGACCGCGAAAGTACAGCGCCCGTGAGCCGTGTTACGCCGCGGGCAGGAAGACATCTCTCTTCCGCGCATGCGGAAGCCGCTGCTGGCCGGCGTGGGCCCGCGGGCTGCGGTGTGCTGCTGCCCGTTCGGAAGGCAAGTTCGACGTTGTTGTCGCGTCGTCAGCGGCGTTCAACGGTGCGTAGACGGCTTTGTTTTCCAAGGTACGTATACGTTAAGTTGTTCCTAACGCAGTGTTAGTTTACTATCTCTAAGGGTGTCGTATATTCCAAGTTCGGGATGCCCAGCGTGTAGCGTTTCGTCTTCCCAGCCTCATAAAGCTAGGACTTTTATAGTTCCTGATCCTGGGCGGGCATACTGCCCAACCCTAGTTAGTAGTTGGGGACTAGGAGAGCACGGTTTCCGCAGTAATCCCGCATTATTATTCCAAGCCGCTGTCAACATGCGTGATTTCAGCGCGTCGAATTAAACTAGTTTTGCCGCCAAGTTCAACCTCACATGGTTCAGAGTTTAGCGCTTGATCGGGGAGGGGGATGGGGAAATCGGAGAATAAGGAAGGATTGGATGAGAAGACCTGAGCATTCGTGAGGTATGTTATAAAAATACACTGTCTTATTTGAACACAACCAGAGTATTTTATAGTCAGGCGTAATAAAACTGTAACAATCAAGTAACTGACATTCAGCATTGTCGCAGAGCAGTAACGCAATTCCACCACCTTGTCCATTGGATCGCTTTAAGTAGTAAGTTGTATAGTTTGGTAACCTGAGCACATCATGTTAAGTCGTGCTCCAAGTCTAAGTTAACATGATGGCAGAATGTTTAAATGAAAATTCAGTAAAGAATTCTTCCAAACAAATTACCTTGTTCTATACAGACCTTGTATTTAAGTGAATACATTTCAGAAAAGCAGGTGGGAGCCTAGACACAAGCTGGTCAACATCACTCTGCAAATAATAGCACTGATCGTCGTTCATGGCACATTATTTTCTAAAAAGTTCATCTGCAGCGTACTCGCGTCCCCCCCCCCCCCCCCCCCCTCTCCTCAAAAGAAAAAAAATGAAAAATAAAAAGGTACTTGACAGGGCAGCTCTGAGGAATGTGTCGGGCGAGCTTACCAGAATGGGGGAAATGCTAATCCCCATTATAAGGGGGGTTGTCCGGCTTCTTGGGTTTTTGCCGTTGACTTTGCCTGGTAACCTTGGGCTGCTCCGCTGTACCTGGGCCGCTCGGTTGGGGAAGTTGCACGGAGCGGCTGCCTCCGCTGAAGGGGCAGCCGACTTCGGTGCCGGCGTCGAGCCGGTTGCTTCAGCGGATGCCGTCGGCCCGTCTCTCAGCTGAACGACGTCGTCGATCTGTGCCACTTTCCCGTTGTCTTCCTCGACATCGCACTCTCCTTTCGTCGCTTCCGGATGCTCGCCTGAATCCCGCGATGTATCATCGGCGTGGAGCGGCGGCAGCGGCTCCGTGAATACAAGCTGCATTGGCCCGTCACCGTCCTCCAGAAGTACGTCTTCGGGGGCCGCATTAACTCTGACCCTGACTTTGGCCGCGTATGTCCGCACGCGCTCAATCTCGAAGTGGGGATATCCACGACACCTGCGGCACCAAGGAGCCTGGCACTGCCTCCCCATGTGCCCCAGCTGGTTGCAGCGGAGACACAGCGGCGGTCGGCCAGGCAATGAGAGCAACCCCGGGTAGCCAGCGATCGAGGCCTGATGAGCAATGTTTTCCTTGTTGACACCCTCACAGAAAACGAGAGTGGCGCTTATCGTTGTTCTGTGCACCTCATATGCGTCGTTTGGTGCACATCATTTCTTTCGCGCAGAACGCTTCAACCTGCCAAGAGGGGCAAGAGCGCCTTCGACCTCGCTGTCCGTCACGAAGGTAGGCAGCCAATGTACTCGCAGCGTCACCTCCGTCTGGTTGGCGTCGATTATGACGCACCTTCTTTCCTTCACAGTGAGCTCCCTGAATGCAGCGAGACGCTTCTTCGCCTCGGCGTTGTCGAGTGTGCAAATCAGCACGCGGTTGTACTGGAAGGTTCCCAGCCCCACCACGTGCTTCATACCCACGGTCTCCTCCAGCGCCTCAGTGAAGTCCTGGGTCCTGTACGGCCTCCCGCGCAGGTCACCGTGTAGAAACACCGTCGCCTCCAGCCGCCTTTCATGCGGGAGTTGGGGCAGCTGCATCCTGTAGCCGTCGTCAGAGGGTTCCGCTGAAACCTGTCCGGTCGGCGCCGCCGACGCCGCCGCTGCGTTTGACATTGCTCCTGGCGCGGGCTGCGTATTTTCGGAACCGATTTGGGGTGCAGGGGCTTGGCCAATGACGTCGCGGACGTCAAAATAATAACTTTATTTTGCCGTCTTCTTTATTTTGACGTCAACAACGCGTTATCTTGGATGCCGCTGAGTGCATTTTGAAATGTCGGTCGCTCGGCGTGTGTGTGGCCGGGTGCTCGGCGGCTCGGTGGTGCCCGCGGTGGTGCGTGTTGTCAACGTTGCCGCCTGTACTCGTCGCGTTTTCAGGAACATCAAACTCAGCGTTCTCCATTTTCAAACTTCGTCCGGTGCCGTCCGTCACTCCTGTTGCAAATGAAGATGATATGTAACGGAGGCGACAGAGCCCAGCCGCAGTAATTTGTACGGCCCCACCCCTGCCTGTTTCGATCTAAATGAGCATCGTACCGGCGTTCGGTCGTGTATCACTACTGCGTGATGCACGTTAAAGACCCTTAGACTAGCGGTTGTGCCGCACTGGCTAAATTGCTCATCTACAGCTGGGAGACTCGTCACCCGTTGAGGCAGACCAAGTTCTAGGCTGTGGAAACATATAGACACAGCCCAATTATTACTAATTTTGTACGCATTTGTCTGGAGCTGTACTTCTGTGCAATACGACGGATTGTCACCCATGCATAGAATAGCAGCGAAGGCCGTGCAGGCGGCGAGCAAGTAGCCTTGACTGGCATGACTGCACCCGCTGCAGGAGCGCTCGTGCCGCGCGATCCAAAGCGAATAGCTCGTGCTTTTAGCACTGTCGTCGACAGCATACTTTTTTTTTTTCAGTGTTAGTCCTAAAAAGAAGTGTTTGTAAATATCGCCAAATGCCCCAAAAAAACAAAATGTAAATAAAAAAAAAAAGTAAGCTTCCGCTACGGGTCGAACCCACGACCGCTTGCGTTCGAGGCAGACATTTTAACCGCTGAGCCACGCTACTGCTTCGGAAATAATGTATTGGCAATTCATTTTATACGAGACTTTCGGACGGCACTTAACGCGGAGTACTGTCGCTAAAGTATCATCGGACGGCACTTGAACGCTCTGCAAAAGTGCCATCGGACGGTGCTGTAGTCACTACAAATCTTCTTTTGCAACAGGAGTGACCGACGGCACCGAGCGAACGAAATTTGAAAACACTGTTTCTGGATACGCGACGAGCACAGGCGGCACGTCGACACACACCAGCGAGTGCACCGCCGAGCCGCCGAGCACCCGACAACGCGCACACACTCGCCGACTGACCGACGTTTCAAAATGCAGTCGGCGGCACCCAAAATAAAACGTGTTTACATCAAAGAACACCAAATAGAATCTGGACGTCACTGACGTCACTGGCCGCGCCCCCTGCACCTCAAATAGGTGCCGAAAATACGCAGCCCCTGGCGCGAGGGATCGGGAGCTCCGGAGAAACACGTCCACTCTCGACAAAACGCGGTGCCCGTTTTTCCCAATGTTCCACGTGTCTATCATTCCCTTCCTCTTCTTGAAAAACTTAGAGTCATTGATATATCCAATTTGTATGCGCATAGTCTGATAGCTAATTTTGAACGATCCGTAAGGGAAAATAATGTAATTTCTTTAGATCTTGGTAATCCAGGAGCAAACGAGTCTGTGTTCCCATCGCGACATAGGTCCCCTTGGCGTATTCCCTTTTCAAGGAAAAATTTCGGTCTACAAAGATATAGCCATCAATTACCACTTTTCTTAAACACCTTGTTTTCCCGTGATATTGAAATACACTCTGTTAGTCATCGTTCCATTCAAGAAGCTTTATAATAAGTAACCACCACTTTTTTGTTTACTGTTGATTGCGAAGTTGAATTCTTAATGCTTTCCTTGTGTTTATCCTTTGTATAGGTGTATGCCTATGTATCTGTGCGCATATTCGCTCTTTTTTGTGTTTTTGTGCCAGTGCCACTCTTACCTTATACTGGGGCGCTGGAACATGTCAAGCTGCAGGCCTGCAGCTTTTTTTCCAGCGCCCCTGTCACAAACGTACTGTTTGTGGCAAATTAAAAGAATTTGCATTTTTTAATGTGTATTCAGATACGACCGGAAATACACCGCCCTACACTTTTCTGCACCGGTGCAGGAGGTGTAAGTAAATCGAACGCAGATAGTTTCGCGGAAGCCTTCCCTATTCTGCACTTTCCCAACAGACGTATGGCGATATCTTTGTGTTTGCTTTTTCCTGGCTAAAATTCTTAAGGAGACAGAAGGGAGGCCTACCGCTAGTAACACCTGCCTTGCTTGCTTCCTCGTCTTTCTTGACTACAAGAAAGGCGTCTTTACCTGCCAAGGTCAAGGAGAAGCACAAAATGGTTTCGATCTTTGACAAAGCTTTTGAGTTTAACTTTTAAATTTGATTGTTTTTTCTTTAGGTCACAATGGCCGAAGCTTGAAGGTTTGGCCTTATAATTTTTGTATAATATAATTCTTTTTTTTTGCCCAAAACATCTTTTCAGTTTCCACTGAGGTGCAAAATAGTAAAATAAAAATACCGCAAAAACTGAAATACAGAATACAAATGCCACAAAAATCTCAATTCCCGAAGACAGGAACATATCCAGGGGATATTCCTTATTGAAGGCCAATTGAATCTGTGACAAAGGGGGTACAGGGGACATGCAAGATGGATGAAACATTCCGACAGGACCTTGATGGAACATGTAAGTGAAATGATCGTAGTAAATCTATTGACCTGACGTGACTATGAACAACTTTAAGAAGAAAAGCAAAATCTCTTGACTGCCTCCTTAAGGCACGTTTATATAATGCAAAACGCTGAAGTAGCGTTTCATAATGATAAAAAAGACCTCCTTTCAATATAGCGGTCATACACAATTCTTATCAACCGCTTTTGTACATTTTAAAATTCTGTTGCCTGACCAAGGAATAATGAATTCCAGATTACTGAGCACAATTCTAACAGTGATCTATCTAGTAACTTAAACAAATGCAACATACAAGAGGGTGATTAGAACCACCGAAATGACCGTGAAATAATGCGTAACACACTTAACGCAGCATTAACAGTTATAGACACGTGCTATTTGAAAAAAAAAGTAAAGTGTGAATACGGACACCAAAATCCCTTCCAAAAATACCCGGGGTATCAAGGCGTCTTCAAGGTTGTAAGAAAAAGAAATGAATTCACACTTTCTAAATAATACAATATGTTTAGTCCTCTCGGGATTAAAAGACAAATGGTTTCTGAAGCACCATTTGAAACATGTTCTATGTCAACTTGAAGACGAGTGCAATCCAATACTGACCTAACAATTAAAAATAATTTGCATCATCGGCAATGAGAAGACTTTTTGTGTCACTAACTCAGGAAACAGTATAATTTATAAACAACATAAGCAAAAGCGGTCCCAGGATGGAGCCTGGGGCACCCCGGATTCAGAAACAAACTCGTCGGAAAAGCTTTCTTCAGCACGAACAGAATTTCTACGACCGTTTATATAACTAAAAAACCATGCGCACAAATGTGGGCTGAAACCATGCAGAGCGAGCTTTTGTAGAACTAATTCATTACTAACACTGTCGAACGTTTTCGACATGTCGAAATAAATCACATCCACCTGTCCCCTACTGGACACACTTGGCGCTGAGAAATTTAAAAATGAGCATAAGTTGGAGTATACCGATCTTCCCTTTAAAGATTCGTGCTCATCTTCAGTTATCCTCCGGCTCAGATAAAAGTAAAGACGCTTATAGACTACTTTTTCAAATACCTTAGGAAATCCACATAACAGTGACACCGGCTGATAATTGTTAACCAATGTAGAATCACCGAATATAAAAATACATACAACTGCTCAGAATTTCTAAAGTTCGGGGAAATGACCCTGTGCAAGAGACAAGCGGAAAAGATGCATTATAACTGGAGCAAAAACAGAACAACAACAGCCTTTTATAATAAAACTAGGTATGCCGTCAATACCGGTTGATAGTTTCGGTTTCAGTTCTTTTTATAGCTTTTAAAATATCTTCAATGCAAACAGTAAATGTTGACAGATCATCGAACACTCAACGTCTGCGGAACTAAAAGAGCTGCTCGTGGGAAAAGAAGAAAAACAGGAACTGAAATACTCAGCTAAGCGAGTTGCAATATCAGCTTGAGAACACATATATTCATTATAGACTCGGAGGCAAATATTTGGCTTATTTTCACAAAAATGTTGCTTCGTAAAGCGCCGAATTTTTGGGGGATTTTTTTTTAAGCTATACTCAACGTCATTTATGTACAGTTGGTTATCTTGTTCGTATAGTGTTTTTGACCAGACCGCGATAAATCTTGAACATCTGATACTACATGACTAATCCTGTTTTTTATACAAACGATGACACTGGCTTCTTTCGTGAGGAGATTTTTAACTCTCAATTATGCTTGAAGAAATGGAAAGAAAGCTGATGACCAACGTGTCGTCGTCTCATGCTCTCATGCTTAGTCGTCTCATGCTTTAAAATGTGCTCACTTGACTGGTGGCGTCCTCTTGACACTTCAGTATAGTAGGGTGCTGGTGACGCGGCGCCGTGAATCCGTCATGTCTGGAGTTTCATGAGTCGCGGGCTTCCAGCGTTCTCTTCCGGCGAAAACATTTCTCCGTCTGTTTCGCCATTCGAGACCGCCTTTGTGCGTCCGTTGTGTGCCACGTTTTGAAAACAAAGTATACTATACCTTAGTACAAAAGTAATTTGAATTGAAGAGCGTATTTTCTTAAAAATGAATGCCTGAAAGTCACTCATTACGTCACTATATTTACAGCCTCGAAATGTAATTTCTTACATACATATATTTCTGAGAAAGTATTTTAATTAACGTAATAATATGAAATAATGTTATTCATTTCATTCCTGTCAGTCATCACGCACATGTAAAGCAAATTGGCATGACGGTACAATGATTATCCATATTAAACGGGCAGGGCGGGGATCGACCGCAGGAACTCTGGGTTCTGCACCGCGAGCCTTGCGCT